TTCGTACTGCTTAGCATTTCGCGCATGCGTATACATACATAAAAAAAAATTTTAATTTTTAGCTGCCATTCGGATTTTGGCATTCGGGCGAGGTGGTTCGTCGCGTTTTTGTAGTGACTGTGTATCTCCCACGTTTCTTATTTGACTTGTGTTTGAATCGCTATAAATAGAATAAAGGGCTTTCTGTGTGGGAAGCATTCTTTGTGCGCTTGCATGCAAGCTAACTTAAACTAATTCAAATAATATAATTGTGCGTCGCGCTAATAAATAGCATAAAGTAACTTTTTGCATTTGGGTGCAGCTTTGGCAAATTCAGGTGAGTTTTTGGCTCGATCATATTAAATATAGTTCCAACATAAATCGTGTGCTTTTATCCCTCTTTTTCACTCTGAAAAAGACTCTATTTCAATTGTGCCAAAATTAAAAAAGAAAAAACTGCCACTTGTGGCAGGCAATAAAAAGCCAGCCGTAATGGCGACGTCGACCGCATGGTCGACGACGTCAGAGGCTGAAGACTCTGAAATTGGTGGTACATCCAAGAAACCGAGAATTTTAAAAAATTAAAAAATTACAAATTTCTATGAGCTCGCCAGCGCGGGGGGGCTCGTAAAAATTGGCGGGAATCTTGGCGCTAAAACGTCAGAAAATCCCAGCAATAAAATGTCGGAAAATTCCAGTAGCAAAATGGAAGATTCCAGTAGCATGGAATGTGAGAACAGGCATGAAGGTGAAAAGGGCATAGAAGCCCCGTTACAAGAGACTGAAAAATGTGTAAAAGAGAATAATGAAAGTGTGATTAGAACAGTACTGTACCCAGCAAATTTCAATGGGGAAATTTTTGTACTAGTTGACTCCTCTGAATGTCCCATCCTGAAAAATTACAGGGTTACCACTGGCTTGACTCTTTTCAGCCAAATTAAGGATTTAAGGCACATTGACATTGACTACATTTTTTCATTAGGTAGGTCCCTTTACAAAATTACGTTCAAAAATACGTATGCTGCAAACAATTTTGTATTAGATGACAAACTCTGCAAAAGAGGTCTGAAACCATTTATTCCCAACACTGCATTGGAAATGTATGGAGTCATAAGAGGAGTGCCCCTATGCTTCAGTGAGACTGACTTCATAAAAGAAGCCAAGTCCAGCATACCAATTAGATCAGCCAAACGGTTTATGCGCAAAGATCCCACAACAAATGAATTAACCCCGACCACTACCCTGAAGGTAGGATTTTATGGTAACGAAATACCTAAAACTGTTGTTTATGAATATACCAAATTAAATGTTGATTTCTATATACCTCCTTTGAGACAATGTAAAAAATGTGGACGTTTAGGGCACACTATGATGTCCTGCAAGTCGAAAGCTAGGTGCCTTAAATGCGGTAATAGTGAGTGTTCGTCTGAGTGTAATATCAATAAATGTATTCTTTGTGGTAATGAAGGACATACGTCCATAGACAAACTAAGCTGCCCTTATTGGGAAAAAGAAATGACGGTAAATCGGATCAAGACGGTGAAGAAAATGTCCAGAAAGGAGGTTCTCAACACGTATTATCCCAATAACAACAATAGGTTCAGTATTTTTGAGCAGGATGATGAATCGTTTCCACCAGTATGTGATAGCATTGATGAGACTGTTGACAAAAATGTCAATATTAATCGCAACTTAGCCAAAAGAAGCTATAGGGATGTTGTTAAAAAACGAAATTTTTATCAAGAACCCAGTCCTGTTAGATATGTTAAAAAGACTAAAAATAATGCAATTAGCAATCCGGCCATAAACTCCCCGTCATATCAAAAGGGAATTGTTACGCGAATGGAGAGGCTAATGTCTCAACTTTTAAAAATTACTCAAAGAATCTCCATAGAGTTCAGTGATAACAAAACATTCAAGGAAATACAGATTTTAAAAACCCAATTTGATCAAATTATGAACAAAAAAGACGAGAGAGAAATCATTGATTATAGCCACTCCATATTTGAACATGAAAATACTCCAATATAATATCCAATCCCTCAAAGCCAACATTGATGCCTTAGAATTTTACATTAACAAACTTGAATTTGATATACTATGTCTAAATGAAATTTTTCTTGCGACCAATGCTTCTCACAGAAAACTTATAGGTTACAACACTATTAAAAAGTACCGCGACGATGGTTATGGGGGAGTTGCAATCTCCCTTAAACGCAATGTCAAATATAAAAAGATTAACTACAACTCTGATTTTGATGTACTTATTGTCCAAACAATTAACCTAAATCCAAATGTTCTGATATGCACTGCCTATTTTCCACCCAGCTTAAGCATACGTGATTTCAATAATGAAATCTTACGAGTGCTTGACTTTCTTGAACGTTTTGAAAATGTCTTTTTTCTAGGGGATTTTAATGCGAGATCGACGTCCTGGGGTGACTCCTTGGACTCAAATATTTTGCAATCCAATTTTCACTGCTTGAACAATGGCAGCTTCACATATCAAAGAGACTTCCGAACAAACAATGGCTCGGTGTTAGATTTATCTTTCACCAACAGCAACATTCAACAGGAAGTCACCATTTGCCCATAACCATCGAGGCCTGTGGGGTCACAAATAATTCTAGTTACTTCATAGCCAACAAAAAGCTTTTCAATTCCCTTAAATTTCTTGAATGTGATTCAAATATTGGCGATCTTGAAAGTAAAATCAAAGATGAAATAAGTAATGCCACATATGCTACTAGTAAAGACAGGGTTCCTAAAGCGTGGTGGAATGAAGATTTAGCCAGAATGTTCAGACTGTTAACTGCTGCCACCAAGAAAGCGAGAAATTTTCCTAGTCCAAGCAACTTTGAACACCTTTTGACACTACAAAAGGAGTGGAAAAAGGCAATCAAAAAGGCCAAAAAAGCCAATTTCACCAGTAAGATTGAGGAAATAAATGTTGAGAAGGGGAGGAATGTATGGCGTTTTGTTAAAGCCTTAAGAGGAGATTTCAGTTCAAATAGTAACAATCAGTGGAATCATGACAATGACGCTGACTTTTTAAATATGCTTAATAGCCAGGTCCCAGCACAAGAAACAAGGTTTGACGCAAACAAAGAGATAGTATCAGACCCCAACCTAGCATTTTCCTTTGAAGAGATACAAACTAGCCTGAACAAAAAGAAAAAAAATTCAGCTGCTGGGGTTGATAAAATCACTTACAATATGCTCAAAACTCTTCCGGAACAAACCCTGAATTCCTTAAAAACTGCTTTAAATGACCTATTCCTATCTAACCAAATCCCTTACCACTGGCGTACCATCAAAATAGTTCCAATCCCTAAGAGGGACAGGAACCTCAATGATTTCAACAATTTTAGACCTATTGCTTTAATCTCGGTGTTCCTCAAACTCATTAACTCTTGCATCAAAGAAAGATTGGACTCTTTTGTGGAGGACCACAAGATCCTACCCACCAACTCTTTTGCGTACAGAAAAACAAAATCGTCTGCTGTATGCGTAAATCACATCTTACACTACATAAATCTGCAAAAAGCCAACAAAAAATAAGTAATCTTTTGTTCAACAGACATCTCAAATGCGTATAACTGCGTGGACATTAAAATTCTCAGGGAGCTTTTATCTGATCTGAATGTTGAAAGCCTGTACACGGAATGGATCACTAACTTCCTCGCCCACAGAGTCCTAAACATTGGAAACAACACAATTGATATTTATAATGGGTTACCACAAGGCAGCTGCTTGTCACCGCTTCTCTTCAACATCTACACCTCCAAACTACATGAGATAAATGACGGTCACATGCAAATATTTCAATTTGCTGACGACTTCTTCCTCGTAGCATCAGGCTCCAACCTCTCAGAAGTCCAACTGAATTTACAGCTTAAACTCAATTCTTTTATCAATAAATGTAAGCAATTAAATCTTTCTTTTAATCCTGTTAATACCAAGCTTATGCATGTTAACAGAGGACCGATGAAAACCATTAACATCTCCATTAATGGATCCAGACTTGACCAAGTTAACAGTATGAAAATACTTGGAAGAATCATTAACAGCTCCCTCACAATTAAGAACCACCACTCCATGATAGTTGAGTCAGCCACTAACAACATCAAATTATTTAAATATCTAACCAACATTAAATCAGGTCTATACCCCCAAAAGGCTTTAAACATCTACAAGTCTCTTGTAAGGTCCAAAATAGAGTACTGCAGCACCACGGCATCCAACTGTGCTAAAACATCTGTTAAGAAAATATGCACCTTACAAAACAAATTCTTGAGAAGATGTCTTGGGCTAACCCCATCGACTCCAATTCCAGTTATGTACGCTCTGGCCAATGAACTTCCACCTAAAGAACGCGCTGTATGGCTTACTGCTAAAGAATTAATCAAAATCCTTGCCTTTGAAGATCCCATCTCAAACTCTATAACCTCAAATCCGCATCTTAACTCCAGCTACTCTAATGTATACAGTAAATTCTCCAACTTTCTGGACCGTCTTGATCCGGTTTGCCGTCACACTTCAGTCTCTAGTATTCAAATCCTTGATAAAAACATACCACACAAAAAAGCATCAATGTCTAGTGAAAGTCTCAAATCCTATCATTATAGCATGCTTAAAAACTTCAAAAGCAATAACTTCTGCATAATGTACACGGATGCGTCTATAACCGAAGAAAGTACCGGTTTTGGAGTATATAACTACTCCAAAAACACTGAACACCTCTACTGCTTTGATTTCAGGGCGTCATCCACTTTTGGTGAACTCTATGCTATTGACGAGGCAATTACTATTGCCATAAATGACAATCAAGAAAAA